GAAATTAGGATTAGAGCTCCTTAATTAATTAAAATACTTGTGGACCAAGCCACTTATTTTAATTAAATAAATAATATTAAATGGGTCACCAACATAATATTATTGCACTCCCTTTTCCTAGCCCAATTTACAATTGAGACTCCAATAATAATTACTCGATTTATCTCCTCATATTTAAGATATAATATCCATTAATTAATTTGATCATTGACAATTAAGAATTAATTAATTTATTATTATTTCACCGAAGCTAGCGCTCGTTCATCACATTACTACAATGCCGGAATTTAATCCACCTGCAGGGTTTAGCATAATAATTCTTCATGAACTCACTCTGGGGACATCATCAAACTAATGCACATGGTGATCGTAAATATCCTAACAACACATCCTACATGCAGAAAATTACCCAAGACAACGGGTCTATTGGCCCAGTTCATTAAGCCTCACCCATGTGAATCAAAGTAATAAGTAATACACATATATGCCTGTTTAATATCTTACGAGTACGCAGTAATTAACCGAGGCCTAGTTCGTTTACGACGATCAGTATAAAACGAACTACTCCTCTCTGAGATCCTGTTCAATACATAAATGTACTAGTGCAACTAATCAGTCAAGACAAACTGTACGGTTTACACTACAACCGTTCACGATGGGGTATTCATGTCCATATGGGTTGTGAACCAATTATTCTTGTTTCGCGAGTAACTGATAGCATGATCTTCGGTTCGCCCGATGACGACCCACACTATCTAATGCAAAACAACTGAACATAGAACATGTTTAATCTAATATGTTTTTCATTCATAAAGGGTAAAAGTGTAATATCATCTAAAGCAAAGCTTTCAGTATATGGCACTAACAGAGGAAACAATTGACCATGTGTTATTTCAATGTGCAAAAGCCAAAAAAGGTCTTGAAACATGCTCTAGTCAGGTGGGATGGTCCTAAGGGAACAAAATCTTTTCAAAACTAGTAGTGACATATTAGTGAACTGGATAAGAGTGAGGTTTTAGACGCCATAATTTAATTCTCGACTTACACATTGTGGTGACTATACAAATGTAGAATTTGTGGCAGTTTGAGGCAATTTGAAGGCCTACCCATCTCATCTCAAAAGTTGCAGTGAGTGATTAATCGGTATACCTTGAGGTGACCCGACTGGAAGGCTTTAGAAGAAGGAGACAACGATGAAGGCGACCAAGTTCATTTGGTCCTATGGTGGCTCTTCTGTTGTTGTGCTTTTTTCATTTATGTTTCTTGTATTGTATGGGTTTAAGGGTTCGGTTTTGTTGTAACTGCCTTGGATTCTTGTGTTGTTTGGTTTGGTGTAGGTCGTCTGGTAACGCAAAACTCTCTGGCCGGCTAGAACTCGGTTCGCCTTCTTCCCCCTTGTCGGTAGAATGTCGCGTACCTACAAAGAACTCTCAGGCTAGAGGGGTTCAACGATGAACATCCTCCGAAGCTTAAGTCAGTGTTTGTTTCAATTAATTCTCAAGGGTAAAAATGAATCAATCGTGTCTTACAAGAAAGGTTCACCCCCATATATATAGGGATGAGATACATGACCTAAGGGCTGCCCAGATTTGATGACCTGTCTGCCCAAACCTGCCCGTCCCTGCACACGCAGTGTGCGTATGTCAGAGGCGGCCATCGCCACTATCTTATGCACCAATCCCTTCACTCCACGTGTCCTCTACACATAGGATAAATATTCCCCTACAATCCCGCTGACAACCTATTGACATTCCGTTAAAGGCTCTTGCGTTTGACCTTATCCGGGTCAATCCCTTATGTTGTCTTCAATTTATATAGTGGTCGACTGTCAGGCTATTCCCAATCTGCAGGGCGACCATTTAGTCGATTCCTTACTCGACATCATCGACCAGATCTCTACTAAATCTGCAGTCCATATGCATCCCTCACGTCGGAATCCTCTTCATCTTGTCCCTCATGAGATTCGACCCTGACCGCTCTGCTAGATGCGGTTCAACCAATGTGATCCCCTTCATATTCAAGTTTGTTCGACCGACCTAGCAAGCCGGTTTATTCCTTTAAGTATAATATGCCATATCACCACCTATGTATGGTTCTCCCTTATTTTCGGTTTTCAGTCTTCGGTTTTTTATTGAGTATTTATATAATATTTTGAAAAAAAAAAAAATGAAGGGACCAATTATGTTATCCTTGTTTATTGATTGGGGGACTATAAAATATTATGGGTAGAGACTAATTGCAAAAATAATTTAAGGATTAGGTATTTACCTCTAAAGTCTCCTTAATTAATTAAATTTTGTTTATATTAATATATGTGTTTTTTTTGTTTATATAAATATGTATGAAAAATACACGTAGAATGTGACACTCCGAATTTAGTATTAAAAAAATTGTACGGCCTCCATCCCATAAATGATACACCATACCCGTTCGGTCCCACTATAATCACTGCAAATTAGACAACAGCAAACATGAGCTACGTCCATAATAATTTATTAATTACCTCATAATTAATACATGAATAATGGAGGCCCCATCTTCTCATAAATACACTCCAATCACCGCCCTTAAGGGCATCCACATTGGTATATACCAAACATTTTTTCATTCATTCAATCAAAAATTACACTCTATTTCATTCACATCATCTTTCCACTAAATCTCTCTCCATTTAAACACACACCCATATTCATACTCATTCATTTAAATACACATGTGAGAACCTAAGAGCGCTTGGATGAGATGGTTTGAGTCTTTTCCAACTTAACCAATGATTTCGTGTTCGAGCCTTGGGAATGCAGCAGTGTTAAAACTCTTGAGGGAGAGCTTTGCCGCCCTTGTGGTCCTTACCCGGCTCGATTCCGGATTAGTCAGTTCCCCTGTGGATCCGGAAACCCGAAGGTCCCTGTACCAAAAAAAAAAATACATATGTGGGACCCATTATCCACTCATTCAATATAATTTTTTATATTCTATCCACAATAAAAATTTATTTAATACAATTAAATTATAACAATAAATTTTAAATAAATGAAAAAAAACACTACAAAACTAAAATACACCTTTATGTACATTTATTATGTACATGTAGTATTTTCCTACAAGAAAATATTTTTTTGGTGCAAAACAAGTGAAAAAACTGAAGTGTATTTATAGGCAAAAAGTAAGTATGGAAAATGTAAATTATTGATCCATATTGGGAAGTGTGATATAGATAAAATTTGAATTTATATGTATTGAAAAGTTTGATATAGATTAAAAATACATAAATATAAAAACAAAAGAAAAAGAGTTAAATAAATAATTATTTAAAAAAAATTAAAAAGTTAAACATGCTTCACGCTCATAATAAAATAAGATTTTTAAACCAAAAAGAAAAAAAAAAAAAATCAAGCAATTAACCCGTTCAAACATGTGAACTAAGTGGTGGGCCCTCCCTTTAAACGGATGAGCCCCATCCGTGTTAACTCCGGGAGGGCCATTTAAACGGCTGGAAAATGAAGCCGATGTGGGTGCTCTAAAACAAACACTCAGCTGAGGCCGCTCTTTACCGAGTGTGTGACCAAAAAAAGTGAAAATGAAAGATGAAATGAACAGGGCGCTCCTAATTCCATCTGCGGATGATCAAGATGAATTGCAAGTCCCTCGGCTGCGTAGCGGCCTCGGCTACTTCATCCCTGACGCGGACGACATCCCACCCATCACCAGCGGCAGAGTATTGCTGAGGGAATTCAGAGTGGAGTTTGGGAAGCTGTGGTATCTGGCGGCCCCGGCCATGTTTACCTCCATCTGCCAGTACTCGCTCGGGGCCGTCACACAGACCTTTGCCGGCCACATCAGCACCCTCGACCTCGCCGCCTTCTCAGTCGAGAACACCGTCATCGCGGGTCTCAGTTTCGGAGTCATGGTACTTCCATTTTTCCTTATTTTTATTTTAATCGAAAAGCTGAATTGGTTATTAACTGATTATTGAATGGTGATGTGTGAGTGTGGCAGTGGGGCATGGGAAGCGCGCTGGAGACGTTATGCGGGCAGGCGTACGGCGCTGGGCAGATGGAGATGCTGGGCGTTTATATGCAGAGGTCGTGGATCATCCTGCTGGCCACCAGCCTGCTCCTCACCCTCATCTACGTTTTTGCAGAGCCCATTCTGCTGGTATTGGGCCAGGACAAAGACATCTCCCGGGCCGCGGCCCAGTTTTCGTGGTGGATGATTCCACAATTATACGCCTACGCCCTCAACTTCCCCATCTCAAAGTTTCTGCAGGCCCAGAGCAAGATGATGGCCATGGCCTGGATCTCGGCCGCCGCCCTTGTCCTCCACTTCGCCCTCAGCTGGCTTCTGATGCTGAGGCTCGGGTGGGGGATGGCCGGTGGGGCCATGGTACTCAACGCCTCATGGTGGTTCGTGGTGGTGGCCCAGCTTGTGTATATATGGGCTGGGGCGTGCCCGCAAGCATGGACCGGATTCTCGAGCCAGGCATTCCGCAACCTTTGGGGATTTGTCAAGCTGTCCGCGGCCTCTGCTGTTATGCTCTGGTCTATGCCTTCTCCGCGTTTCTTTTGTTGACTCAGATTAATTTATTTAATAACTACTAATTTTTTATTTTTATTTTTTTTGTTTTTTAACTACTTACTTTCAGTTTAGAGATGTGGTATTTTACAGCGCTCGTACTCTTTGCTGGATACCTCAAGAACGCGCAACTTTCGGTTGACGCGTTATCCATATGGTTAGTATTTATACTCTCTCTTTTCAACATTTGTGAACTACTTGTTCATTTTATTTTCCGTGGGTTGGATTAAGTTATTAAGAGCATGCTTGGATATAAAGTTGTTTTTGTTTTGATTGGATTTTTGATTTAGGTTGGTTAAATTTGAAAAAGTATATATGATTAGTTGTTAATGGATATAATAAAATAATATTTAAAATAAAAAGATTAAAATTAAATTGATGTAAAAGTAAGAGAGAGAAGATGTGATGTGATAGTTAGTTAAATTTATGTGAGTAGATGAATAGTGAATTAAGGTTGATGTTGTGTGTAAGAATTGTTGGAAAAAATACGCTGAAATTTCCATGAAGTCAGATCTATAAAAGTGAAATAAAAGAAAAATTGGACACACCAAATTGATAACGGAGTTCGGCCAATAATGCCTACGTCTCCGGACTACTGCAGATATTTTATTAGGAGAAAGAAAACACTCGTGTTTACAAAACACTCTTAAACTCACTCACAATTCACAACTCAAAAATACACAAAGGCTAGATTTTTTTTTTTACCTCACTCATTTTTTTTTTTCTCTCGTATTTTTTGTTCTTCTTGATGTTCTTCTTGCTTCAAAATGTGCTCCTATTTATAGCTGAAAATGGTGCAAAGTTTCAGCTGCAAATTTAATGCTCCGCTACCAATAATATGTTCAGCCTCCAAAATTGCACAGCCACCAAGTTAATTGCATAACACAACCTCCAAATTAAATGCAGCCTCTAAATTAATTCAGCCACCATCATTAATTTCAAGCCACCATCATTAATTGCCTCGTGCAGCCACCAAAATTAAATGTGGCCCCCAAATTGTCTCTTATCAATCTCCCACTTGAGGATTGATTTCAATCTGTCCTCACACCTCAAATATTGCAGTAGTCTACTCCGGTCTGTTACTTTAGCAAGCCAACTGAAGTTGAGCACAACTTAAGTTTGTCAATGGTCAACACCTTCGTTAGCATATCTGCTGGGTTCTTGCTTCCTACAATCTTCTTCAATGTCAACACTTCATCCTCAAGTAGAGATCTGATGAAATGATATCGTATGTCAATGTGCTTAGTTCTGGAGTGAAACACTGAGTTCTTTGCCAGATGTATCGCACTCTGACTGTCACTGTGCAAGACACTCTCCTTTTGAGTGAAATCCAACTCTGCTAACAATCCTTGAAGCCATATCAATTCTTTACTGGCTTCTGTCACTGCTACATACTCAGCCTCTGTTGTGGATAGAGCAACAATCTTTTGTACCCGCGACATCCAACTAACAGCTGTAGCTCCAACAGCGAAAACATAACCGGTGGTGCTTCTTCGGCGATCAACTTCACCTCCAAAGTCTGCATCTACGTAGCCCTGTAACTTTAGATCTCCCTTTCTAAAGTACAGACACTTTTCTGTTGTGCCTCGTAGATATCTCAAGATCCATTTGACTGATTCCCAATGAGCTTTTCCTGGTTTTGACATAAACCTGCTCACAACTCCCACTGCATGGCCAATGTCTGGCCTTGTACAGACCATCGCGTACATCAAACTCCCAATGGCTGAAGCATAAGGAATCATAACCATGAACTCTTCTTCTTCTTTTGTTTGAGGAGACTGATCCTTGGATAGACGAAAATGGCTGGCCAAAGGTGTACTGACTGGTTTGGCCTTGTCCATGTTAAATCTCTGCAAAACACGGTTGATGTACTCTGCCTGAGATAACTGCAAAACTCCCTTTTGCTTATCTCTCGTGATTTGCATTCCAAGAATCTTCTTCGCTGGACCTAAGTCCTTCATGTCAAATTCTTCTGACAACTGCATCTTTAAATTTCTGATGTCTTCCATATTTGATCCTGCTACTAACATGTCATCGACATAAAGTAGCAATATGATATAGCTGGACTCATATTTCTTGAAGAAACAACAGTGATCAGCATTGCACTTCTGGAAGCCTTCCTTGTGCATGAAACTTTCAAACTTTTTGTACCATTGTCTTGGAGCTTGTTTAAGGCCGTATAAGCTCTTCTTCAATTTGCACACCATATCCTTCTTTCCTTCTGAAAAACCTTCAGGCTGGTGTATATAGATCTCCTCATCTAGGTCTCCGTGAAGAAATGCAGTCTTCACGTCTAATTGCTCTAGATAGAGCTCTTTACTAACCACAATACTTAGCACAGTCCTGATAGTATTGAGCTTTACAACTGGAGCAAAGATTTCAGTATAGTCAATTCCTTCTTTCTGCTGAAATCCTTTGACAACCAGTCGGGCTTTGTATCTCTTGGAACCATCATGGTCTTCCTTCAACCGATACACCCATTTGTTGTGAAGCGCTTTCTTTCCCATGGGTAACTTGACTAGTTCCCATGTCTGATTTGAGATCAAGAACTTCATCTCGTCCTTCATGGCAAGCTCCCACTTGCTCGCATCTGTGGTTTGACAAGCCTCCTTATAATCTTCAGGTTCTCCTCCATCAGTTAACAACATGTAGTCCATGTATCTCCTGTTAGGCACATGGGGCCGAGAGGACCTTCTCAATACAGGAGCTGGAGTTGAAGCTTCTGATGCTCACCGCTTTCTTCATTTGATTCCTCTGACCGAGGATTCCTTATTACAGGAATGTCTGTGATATCTTCCACCTCTGCATAAACTGGCCCACTCGCTTCTGAGTTGCTGGCACTTGTGTTATGCCGGTCCTTGTACATCACTCTTTCATTAAAGATGACATCTCTGCTGCGGATCACCTTTTTGGTTTCATCATCCCATAAACGGTAGCCAAACTCATCTTCATCATAACCAAGGAAAGTACATTTCTTTGATTTTGGATCAAGTTTGTTTCTGCCTTGATCACTGATGTGCACATATGCTACACACCCGAAAACTCTAAGATGTGAGAGTTTTACTTCTTTTCCGCTCCATACCTCTTCTGGTAACTTGTAATCCAATGGTACCGATGGACTTCGGTTGACCAAGTAAGTTGCTATGTTGACTGCTTCTGCCCAGAACTCCTTCGGTAAGCCTGACTGCATCCGAAAGCTTCTGGCTTTTTCACTCAACGTTCGATTCATACGCTCAGCTACACCATTGTGTTGAGGCGTACCAGGCACGGTTCTCTCCATTCTGATCCCGTGCTCATAACAAAACTTCTTGAATTTGGTGGTTACGTATTCACCACCATTGTCGGATCTGAGCTTCTTGATCTTTAAGCCTGTCTCATTTTCCACCATAGCTTTCCAAATCTTGAAAGCTTCAAATACTTCTGACTTGTGTTTCAGAAAGTAAACCCATACTTTTCTGGAGTGATCATCGATAAAGGTCACGAAGTATTGCTTCCCACTACCGAATGGGATAGTCGTTGGGCCCCAAACATCTGAGTGGATGAGCTCAAGTTTCTCCTTCTTTGGGGTTCTTCTACTTGTCTGAAAGCTGACTCTTTTATGCTTTCCATGTATACAATCTTCACACATGTCAATTTCTATTGACTGAAGGCCTGGTAATTTTCCTTTTGAGTGAATGATCTTCATCCCCTTTACACTCATATGCCCAAGTCTTTGGTACCATAGATTGGGACTTTCTTTTGCTGCAACTGCAATCAGATGACATGCTCCTGTTGTCTTGTAAAGAGTACCACTCTTTTTGCCTCGAGCAATTGTCATCGCACCCTTTGAAATCTTCCAATCGTCTCTGTGGAAGATTGTCGTGTAGCCTTCACTGGCTAGCTGGCCCACCGAGATTAAATTCTTCATTAGGTCGGGAATATGTCTTACGTTTTTCAATTCCCATACAGACCCGTTCAACTTGATTTTTATCGCACCTTTGCCTACAACCTCACATGATTGCTCATTACCAAGGTAAACCTTACCAAGATTTCCAGGAACATAGTTTTCGAATAGTTCCTTCTGTGAGGTAGCATGAAAGGATGCTCCAGAGTCTAACACCCAAGACTCTTCTCTGTTCTCCAAAGAACATATCAGCAAGTCTCCTCCTGAGACTGAAGCAACATTTGCCTCTTCCTTTGCCTCCTGGTTCTTTGGTGCACTCCTGCACTGGTTTTTGTAGTGTCTGGTCTTCCCACAATTCCAACACTCGATCGACTTCGAGTTTTGGGAATTACGATGATTTCTGGACTTGGACCTCCTTCCCTTTGATTTGTTGTGC